CTAAATGGCCTTGGGCCAGTTAATTGAAACTGCTTCCTCAAATTTAAGGTTAAAAAGAGGGTGAGAGGGCAAGGGATTTAGCTCAGTGGTTCCACCGCTTGGAAGGGCAAGGTCCTGAGTTTGATCCCTAGTACCAAAAAAAAAAAAACAAAAAAACAGTAAGCCAAAAGGGCATGAGATAAACCAGCTCTGCCTCTCTTGGAAGGAAGGTATCTTTTGTGTGGCCTACTAGAGCTGCAAGGAAAGGGAGATCCCACTTCAGTAAAAGGGAACAGGGAAAGGCCATAAACAAAAGACTTGTAGTTTATTTTGTATTTTTTAAAAATAAATACACTTGTGGCCAGGGATTTAGCTCAGTTGTTTCGTCACCTGCTACGCAAGCGCAAGGACCCAAGTTTGATCCCCAGTACCAAAAATAAATAAAAATAAAAAATAAAAATAAATATGCTAGATACTGTGGGAGGAAAAAAATGACTAATTACCTACAGGATTGACTTAAGCAAGGTTTCTGGTTCAATACTATTTCATCCATAAAATGGAAAAATATACAACTTCGGTGGTTATTAAAATATGTCCATGTATCCTTTGATACTGCTCCCTTGAAGAGGTGGAGCTAAATTTCCATCCCGGAGTCCAAGCTGGTCTCAGCGCTTGCTTTGCTATGACAGGGCATGAGCGATGGTGTGTGGCTGCTTCTCTGCTCCTGCGTGGATTACTTGCTCTAGAGGGAAGCCAACTGCCACCATCTTGTGAGAACACTAAAGCAAGCCTTCAACAGAGAACCGAGGTCTTCTGCCATCAGCAAGCAGATACGGACTTGCCAGACTGTGAGCCACTTTAACCTGTCCACATCTTGACTGCAACCTCAAAGGAAGACCCTGACCCACAGACACCTACCTACCCGCGGCTGGACTCCTGACTCACAGAAACCGAATGGGATAAACATGTTTATTGTTTTAAGCCACTAAGTTTCAGTTTAATGTGTAACAAGAAGAGAACTAATATACCATTATTTTTCAGATTACAGACCCTAGCCCATTTGGGGTTGCAATAAATTCAAGGATGCCCAGTTTTTAAAAAATGTAATGGTTGAGCAGGCACAGTGGTGTGTGCCTGTAATTCCAGCTACAAAGGCTGAGACTGGAGGATCATGAATTCAAGGCCAGCCTAGCAAGAACCTGTCTCAAAAAGGAAAAAAGGCTAGGCAGTGACACACGCCTCTAATCCCTGCACTGAGGCAAGAGGAGAGCTTCAAGTTCTAAGCCAGCCTGGGCTTTACAGTGAGTGCAAGGCCAGCCTGAACTACATAGTGAGACTTTGTCTCAAAAACACAAGTGTTAAAGCTGAGTATATTACTCACAATAAATACTATTTCCTGAAAACTTCATTTCAGTTTTACCTGTGTAGTACGCAGCAAGTTAAAATGTGTTTCAGGGGCTGGGGATTTAGCTCAGTGGCACAGCGCCTGGCTCGAAAGTGCAAGGTCCTGAGTTCAATCTCCAATACCAAAAAAAAAAAGATTGAGCTAAAATGTGTTTCAGGTTACGCATGGTGGCACAGGCCTGTAACCTCAGCTGCTCAGGTTTAGGCAGGATTGTGAATGCCAAACCAACCTACCTAAGCAACATAGGAAGTCCCTGTCCCAAAACAAAAAAAGTGTTTCACATGTGAGGCCCTAAATTTGATCCCCAGCACCACAGAATTAAACTAAAAAGATACAATGTCTTTCTTAGTATCACAGTTAAAAAACGTGTATACCTACAGAGGCCAGCATGGTGACACCCACTTACAATCCCAATACTCAAGAGGCTGAGACAGGAGGATTTCCCTGAGCTTGAGGTCAGAGCAGGCTTCACAAAGCAAGGCCCTGTCTCAAAACACACCAAAGAGAAAATGAGAAAGGCAGACAAATGAAAGGGCAAGGAAAAGAGCAGGAAAATAATGTGTGCATCTACAGGTCTATACCAGATTTAAAACAAAAAGCTCCTTAAAACATACGGAATTCCTTGAGGGTCTATGATCTCCCTAAGAGCCAGCTATTATGCATTTTCTATAAAATTTACGACTAAACCAATGAAATGCAAGACACTCTCAAAATACTTTTTTTTTTTTTTTTTTTTTGCAGTACCAGGGATCAAACTCAGGACCTTGCACTTTCAAGGCAGGCACAGCATCACTGAGTTAAATCCCCGGCTCATCTTTTTCTGATTTGTGTGTTAAGCTTGATACATAACACAGAAGACATGGTACCTGCCCTAGACTTTACTCTAACACATAAAATATGCTATTTTCCTAATTTAAGTAGTTACTGGGATGGGGATGTAGCTCAACAGCGCAGCACCTGCCTGGCAAACATGTACCAAAAAAGAAAAAAGGGGAAAGTTACTGAAAGGTCATCCTTCATAGTATTTAGTAAAAAAGCTGCTTTGAGCTCTACTACATTTATCAATTCCTCCAATTGCTTTTCTTGTCAATGTTAAAGGGAATTTCATCTTCAACCTGAATACACACAACCCACAACTTACCAAAACTAAGGGGGGCGGGGGTTAAGTACAGAACTATTGTTTTCTTTCCACTGCCCAAATCTCACTGGAACTATCCTCAGACTATCAAGTGCATATTTTTACGGCTTTATCTAAGCAGAACACACAAAACTTTCAGCAACACAAACTTTGCAAAAAACTTTTGCCTAACTTTTCTGATGAGTCCACTCAGATTATTTGCTTACACTGTGATTTTCTTTGAAGTAAAATGTGTTAAACTATTTTTGAACTGCTAGTTTGCCATATACCTTTTCAAAATACCAAAATAAACTAGTACATGAACACTAAAGAGACTGAACTTCATATTTTTATTACTTATCCAGAGCATTTGTGCCTTTCTCTAAATCAGACTTATTACAGAAGTGACAGCTTCTCTTGGCCCTATCCTGACTTACGCCTTTCTCTTGCAACAGCTGATTTCTCCCCCACCTTTGCAGAGAAAGTCTACTCAGCTCTCCTTAAAATCCTATGGCTTGATGACAGTGACTGAAAATCAAAATAAACTGCATACTTGGCAAAAGTCAAGTCCACCTACCTATACTTTGAGAATTAGCAACAAAGCAACCCAGTTCTAAATCCAAAATCAGCAACTTTCATGGAGAACAGGATGATCTTGACAGCAGGTCCTTTAGAATGGACATTTTAGTTCTGGGCTTACCCCTGGATTTCTATAAACCTATATACAACAGACTACAAGGAAACTAAAAAAATAGTTTTGTCTTAGGGCCAATTAGTCTAGACACACAGGCACATTTCTGCCCAAAGCCTTCATTCTAAAACTTCAGTACTGTACTAGTTTTGCTCACATCTTTTTGTAGTTTCTCTTAAATAGAGTACTTCATAGAGTACTCTTAAGTGAAAAGTTTTCAGAGTCACGGTCCAAAAGCACTAAGAACCTAACCTTAACTATGCTTCTCTACAGAATAATCGAAATCATTTGTTTTCCTAGTAAGAGGAAACAGAAGCCACTCCAAGGAACCTTCATGATAGTAGTTGAAGGCCAACTTTGATGTTTTCGTGACAGCACAGTGGAACATTTACATCATGGTCATAATCTGGCAAACATTTAACCACTAAAGTCATTTATCTACCTGATCAAAGAACAAGAAAGTTTAAGGCAGGTATACGCTGAATCAATCTATTATTCCCTTTGGGGTCAGGAAAGTTACATAGCTGCTTATTTTGTCTTCAAAATAGGAATTAGTCATCAGTAGCTGTGGCTACAAGTGGATTGCTAAATCAAACTCGTGATTTTTCGGAGAGACACCCTATACTAAACTGTCTTAAGATACTAAGCACACCTTAAATGTTTTGTAAACTGTGTCACACACCGTGCTAGGAGCTGGAGGCATAAACCAAAATGGGTTAGACATCAAGACAATCAAGTTACCATGCTTAAAAACCAAGAGTAACCTGGAAACTGCTGCCTCCGCTTCCTTACAAATCAATCTTTATCCTCTCATAAGTCAACAAATTCTATGTTGGGCGTGGAGGCATACCAGCACTGGAGGCTGAGGCAGGACGATTCCAAATTGGAGCCTTGTCTTAAAATTTAAAAAATTATTATAAAGGGTTGAGGATGTAGCACAAAGCCCTGGGTTCAACCCCCACTACCACCAAAAACAAAACAAAACCCCTAGGCAGGAAAACACAGAATCTTTAAACTCCTCTCATCAAATAACTAAACTGTACTTCCAAAGAAAACATAGAAATTCTATCAAAATGACAACAACAAAAAAAGCAAACTTTAAAAAGTTAAGAATGATCATAGGGAATTCTAACTCCCCTGCCATGTTACCGGGTTTCAGGACCTTTAAATCTAACACAGTGGCAACTCTGGAATCTGCTCTACCAGCACCTGAAATACCAAACAAAGTGCTCTGGGTTACCTGGACCAATGCTTCATAAACTAAAATCCAATTACTAAACAGCCACTGAATCCCACCACCACACTCAACTCCTATGGCACCTCCACCTCTACACAGGCCGCACACGGGTATCTCAGCTTTAGCATGACTCCCAATAACCACTGGGGCCAAGAAAGACATCAGTGAGCTAACAGCACCTCCCCGGTTCTACCTTGTACTCCGTGCTCAACACCGAAACTTAAACTCACACGTGGAAGTTAGAGAGACAAAAGGTGGAGGCCAGAGGGATGTCAGCGGCTGGCCCAAGGACTGGAGCCGCTCTCCATCCGCACCCCGAGCGCCGGGAGGAACCGTCCTACCTAAACGCTCTGTGTAAACACGGGGCTTGTGACTCAAGCCTCAGGCCCGGGCGCTGCAGCGAAGTTTCCTCGCCGCGGCCGCACATGGCGCGCATAAGTTCGGCTGGAGCAGCGGCGGGCGGGTGGGCGCGGCGGCGCAGGGAGCGCGGCGGGCGGCGGCGGCGGCGGCGGAGCAGCAGGAGGCGGAGGCGGAGGCGGGGAGCGGAGGGGGAGGGGAGCGGCTGGGGGGCGGAGGGGCTCTTGCCGCCACTGCTCTCTCGCCGCCTCTTCCCCCCGGCGGGAGCCGCTCGCAGCCTCTTTGCACTAGTCGCTCCGCTCTCCCGGTCATGTGACCTTAACGTAACCGGACAGGAAAAGCCCCGCCGCCGCCGCCGCCGCCGCGCCGGAGACACCGACCGCGGCGGCAGAGGCAGCAGCAGAGAGCAGAGGCGGCGGCGGCGGCGGCGGAGGACAGCACGGCCGAGGCGCCCCGCGCCGCCTCCTCACACGCCGCCGCAGCGGCCTCGGCGACAGGTAAGCGCCCGCCGCCGCCCTCCGGGGCCGGTGCCCACGTGCCGCCCCCGGCCCAGGCCCCTAGGTTGGGGGGCGGGGGCCTCCGGCCGCGCAAACGGTTCTGGCCACGGCGGTGGCAACAAAGGCGAAGCGCGACCCAGCCCGAGCCCCGGCGAAGGCAGGCGGAGGGCCCGGCCCCACGGCCCGGTCTGGGAGGCGAGGGCTGGGGCGCCCCGGGGGCGGGGGTGGTCGCGCCTGGCGCCGGCTCTGGCCGCCTGACAAAACCACCCCCGGACCCAGGCGGCGGCGAGGCGCGGCGCCTCCATCCGGGGCTTTGCGCGGGGGGAGGGCGGAGGAAGGGGAGGGGGCGATTCACGTTCCGTTCCCCGCCGCCGGTCCCTCCCTTCCCGCCGCGGCGGCCGGCGAGCGTCCCACGCTGGAGCTCCAGAGGCGGGCCCGTCAGGTGCGTAGTCCTCCCGGCCGGCGCCCCAGGGCCGCTGCCGCTGCTCCTTCGGCGGCAAGGCCGCGACCTGCGGAAGTGGGTTTGGGGGAGGGGAGCGAGGGAGGAGGGGGAGGGGAGGGATCCGGTCGGACCGGAGCAGGCCCGGCCTCTCTGGCGCTTCTCCCAGCTGCAGCGGCTCCTACAGCTGCTGCCGCTACGGCTGCGGCTCCGCCTCCCCGCTCGCGGGCGGGGGCGCGCACGCGCGCTTCCGGCTTCCTCGGGTCTCGCGCTGTCTGCGGCTCTCGCGCGCGCTCATCCCGTCTCCCTGGCTGAGCCACCCGCTCCCCCGCCCCCGGCGCCGGGGCTGTGGTGCCGGCCGGGACGTTGCGCACGGCGTAGGCGTCGGCACTGTGTTAAACTCCGCGCGCGCACACGCACACGCGAGGCTGAGGGAGGCGGCGGGGCGAGTGCGTCCCCCCTCCCTTCTCCTCAGCCGCGGGGGCGGGGCCGGAGGCCGAGGGACCCGGGAACCCCGACCCCGCCCCCAGCCAGGCGCCCGCCCCAGGGGGCGGGGTGGGGCCGGCGGCCATTGGGCGGCTGCGGGCGGCCGGGCTTCCGCTCGCCGGACGAGCTCTGCCGGGTGTGAGGTTGCGCTGCCCGAGGCTGCGCGGTGACTCCGGCCGGCTCGGGGACCGAGGTGGGGCCGCGCGCTCGGGCCCGTCGTTCTCTCGGTGAAGCGAATCCCTCAGTCCGTGAACGTTTAAGTGAGGCCGTAGAGGAAGCTGTTAAACCCAAAGCTGCCTATGAAGCAAGGTTCTTGTCGCGAATTAAAGAGGCTCTTAAGTAGAAAGCAAGAGTAGCAGAGCCGCAGAGTGATTGGGCGGAGCCAAAATGCAGTTACCGCTGTGCCAGCGACTGCAAGAACTTCCACCAGAATGCTGGAACTCCTGTTTACGCCTCGGGGAAATAACCCGAGCTCTGCGCTTCCCCACCCGTCTGCATTTTCATTTGCTCTTTCATCATACATTGGGCCCCCTTAGGGTGTAGATCTGGGTCCTATTCATTTTCATAGGTTATTGTTTTCGTAAAGTAATGCATAGAGAAGGTCGGAATTTCGGGCTCGCATAGCTCCAGGGTGGCCAGGGTTTGCTTTAGCCAGCTGCTGTGTGCTGACTCTGCCTACCCTCGGGACCCTGAACGTTGCGCACACGCTCTGACATTTTATAGTCCGAGAGGTCTAAAATCAAAACTAAGATATCTTAATCGTAACTTCTTTATTATAAACCGAAAATAACATGTAAAGCAGGGGATTTTTTTTTGTTCCTGCATTCTGAATAACTTCGTGCGCCCACGGTGTTTGTAAACTGTTAAAAGGCAATTTTTATGAAAAATTACCAATATTACGTTCCATTAAATTGGACATTTCTTATTTACTAAACTTGATAGTATGTTTTCATCCAGAGAGTTGACGGATTGACATATCTAAAAATATAAAAAGTGATACCAGGAGTCAGCAGCGGAGAAGCCTTCTAATGAGTGGTGTATAAACCACCCTAAAACTGTCTGGCAGTCCACTAGTTTATTTGCTGTTCAAAGTGGGTAGATTGGTGTAGACTTGCAGTACTCCCCAGCGGCACAGGAAACCCTACACGAATTATAATGGCAACAAAAGCTGCCAATGGCTTTTTTTTTTTAATCTTAAAGTTTTAATATAAACTTTGCACTGGCCTCCAAAGTTTGAACTTTTAGAAGATGACCCCCTAAGGAGGTACGTGGAGTAACCCTGTGATTGCAGGTACCCCACTGCAGGTCCCTGAGGAAAGGGGGTGTGCTTTCCCCAGTTGGAGGGTTCCCAAAAGCCAGGAGGGATGGAGGAAACACCTCAGGCTGAGATGTGGCATTGGCTTGGGACCTTCTTGTTAGACGTTGGGGACATCTCTTTCTGTCCCTTGGTGCTTTATCTCTAGACCCACTCTCCGTTCCCTGTAAGAACTTTGGAGAGTGGGGCAGATAGTTTGGGGCAAGGCTGGCTCAAGAGAGACAGAGTGGAAAAACTGTTGATCTGCTGGAGATTTTACCATCAACTTAAAATGGACCAGGCAGAAGGACATTATCACCTTTCCTGTCTTTGTGTTCTTTGGGTTTCCAGACACAACTCAGAACTTAAAAGCAAATTGAATCAGAAGCGCTAGATCCAGAGCATTGTAAAAACCCTTATTTTCAGATTGTAATTTTTATTAGCAAACTAACTTTAAATCATTAAAATGTTTCTAATAGGTTGTAAATAAGATTTTACCAGAATTCTGCCATTAAGATGCGAGATCAGTAGCCACAGAACACTTACCCAGGTTGGCAGTCTTAAGATTCTTTCATGGGTGGGGCCAAGTTAGAGTCTGGTATTTATGCTCAAACACAAAATCCCCAGTCCACAGGTTTCCTGCAGTTTTTGTTCTCTATGAAAGTTCAGCATACAAAGGGAGGAATTTGCAAAACACTTTTATACAGTATATCCAGCTAAGAATTTAGGAAATTTTTTTTCCACTTAGCAAGAGGTTTTAGTGTACTACCCCTTTAGATCATGTGGATCCTCTAAATTTTGTACCGAGGAAAGGAAGGAATCATCTAAAAAAAAGTGGATGAGTGTTCTCCCCAGCCAGACTGATCCAACAGTGGGCGTCTAAGTGTGGCCAACCAATGACCCCTGTGAATTCCCAGAAGCATGGCAGGAGTCCCTAAGATCAAAACTATTTTTATAATAATACTAAGATATTACTGCCCTTTCAATTTGTTGATAGTGGAAAATCTGCATAATTCATAGCCCCAGTATTTTCCAAATGACCGATGGATAATGTTAAAAATCACTCATAGGTAAAGTTCCTCTCAAATGCATAGATCAATGAATTTACTGAAACTGGGTAGGAAAGGTTCATTCACTGGCACAGTTTTAGATTCTACAGCTAACCTTTAAGAAATTTCCACTTGTCAAGTTTTGGTGTAATATCAAAGAAAAATATTCACAATTACCTGAAATTGGCACTGTTAACATACTTCTTCCCGGCACCACAAAAAAAAACACACACAAAAAACTCCTCTCCTAACTACAGATGTAGAAGAGGCTGGATTTTCTTCACTACTCAACCAAGACAGATACCACAACAAAATAAAGAAGCAAAGGGCCGGGGATTTAGCTCAGTGGGTTTGCTGCCTGCTGCACAAGCGCAAGGACCCGAGTTCGATCCCTAACACCAAAAAAAAAAAAAAAAAGAAGCAAAGGTGCGGTCCAGTTGTCTTCTGTTAGAGAATTACAAAGATGCCACTTTGCTACTTATGTTTTTGAAAATTATTTTTCATAAAAATTTTACTACTGTGTAATAGGTTATTTTTAATATTTTTGTTTTAATTTCTAATGTAAAAATCAACAGTTGTACGTAATTATGTAAGACAAAATTTCCTTGGTGCCTTTAATTTAAAAAGTCTAAATAGATCCTAACACCATGAAATTCAAGACAGTTTGCGCTAAAATATGAAAACGTTACTTATTTAAGACTGAGTAGAAGCAGAGTACTTTTTTAAATTTTTGGTGACTATGATCTTATGAAGGTTTTCTTTTTTTTTTTTTTGGTACCGAGGATCAAACTCTGGGACCTTGCGCTTGTGAGGCAGGCAGCAGAACTGCTGAGCTAAATCCCCGGCCCCGTGTGAAGCTTTTCTTAAAGTGGATTGTACCATAATACCTTTAGAATTTCACTTTAATTTCAATTCTTTATTGGCCACAAATCTCTAACTTACTTCTACTTAACACCTAAAATGTCCCTGATCTTCCTCTGACCCTAACTTACATTCAGAAATTGAAAACTAATTTAAAGATAAACAAGCAAAATTCAGTCGAAATGACAAATCTTTCTTTACAAACGCAGTGCTTTCCAGTATGAAAATTGCTGTTAGTTTGTGCCCTTTTTTTCTATTGACTATGGAAGACAGTTGTTTTAAGAAATGTTGGGGAAAATGTACCAGTCAGTTATTGCAGCTAAATAAGATGCATTTCCTACCTGGGAATTGCAGTTTTAAAATATATTGATGCCAAGCATGGTGTCACATGCCTTTAATCCCAACACATGAGAGTTTGAGGACCTCTTTAATTACATAGTGAGACCCTGACTCAAAAATAAAAACCCAAAAACATTGAAATTCTAATGATCATCCTCATTCACATTTACTGCATGACCCCTCCAACATTAATGTTTAATAGTACTAATTGAAAAGGCAGTTTCTATCCTAGTAAGTGATCTAAACGACTTGAAAGAATCTATCCTACCTGTGAGTAATGCTTCTTCTGTTACTGATGTGTCCTGTGCATTACAGTATTCATTTATGCTTCACTTAAATAAAATTGAGTACTTCGGAAGACCCTTTTAGTCCCCTTGAAATGGGTAATCTAAGTGGTGTTTAGCATCTTCAAAGAGCTATTATTGCTAGACAGTGAATCATCAATTCGCATAAGCTATCTGGGTCTTCAGTTCTACTGAAAGTGAAGCAAGAACTAAGTTGTCAAAATGTGTGATTATTTGTGTCCCATTCA